TATATAAAGTGTATTTAATATTATTAATCAATTTTAGGCAAGCACGCAGAGTATCTGGAACTAAACATTCTTATGTGCTATGGAATGATAAAGGACGTAAGCAAGCGATGAACCTCATCTGCAAAAAAGAAGACACAGAACGCTCCAGAAGTCCCAACTCATTGCGGATGCAATGAGAGTTAATAGGGATCTTCCACTATACGGATCGCATATAACAAAAAAAGCAGGACGATATATCGCGGAAGACCTTATTCGTCTTTCATGACGACAGCTGTTTCGAGGATCCTCTCCGAGGTGTATCCTTCTGCTTTCTTCGTAGATGCGCGTTCATAACTAAATCCAATTTGTGTTTATTAATAGTGTATTGTACATAGAACATACAATGAAAATTTGCAATATCGACACACACGTACACAGAGGATAAATCGCTTTATCGTGCTTAGTTGAACGACTATTGTGTAAGATACTAATTAAAAAAAAAGGAAGCAGGCTTTACTTTACTTCAAAAATTAGTGTAAAGCAGCAAGGCAAAGCAGTTCAGGCTCTATACAAGTTTTTCAGGAATATATAATTTGAAAAGTTTTATCTTTCAATGTATGTTGATCTTATCGGTCATTATATAATTTTGTTTGTTCACGTCTCAAAAAAGCAAACGCGGATACAAATCTCTTATTGTTTAATTATTAAAGGATTAAATTATTTTGAATTGTAAACGCCCGCTTCACGGTATTCGGAAGGTTTAAATAGGAGACACATAACAAGCTCGTATTTAAGTATATCAGAAAAGTATAGTGCATTTTTTAATTAAATGCGGGTAATTTAAAAATGACACGCATACCTTTTTGAAAATTGTACGGGCGAACTTTAACAACTTTCCATGCTGTGCCAAAAATTAATTTTTCTTTACATAATTTTTTACACGTACATTTAATTTATTATCGATATATTTGATAATAATTATTATAAAAGCTCTTTCTATAAAATATTAATTTTTAATAACAATTAATGATATAAAAGATTCAAAAATTTATATTAATTTATAACATAAAACGTTATATAAATTTATGCAGTTACAGAGTATTTCTCTAAATATATTTACGAAAATTATTCTAAATTTAAGAAAATTCATCCGCTTTCAATGTGAATAAACTAATAATCGTATTTCATGAAACATGACCGAACGAAATTTAATGATTAAATGTGTATAATAGAAATTTTTGCAGAGAGATTAAGTTATAAAAAAAAACTAAATATTTATACGTGTTATAAAAAGTTATGCGTGTGTGTAATTTCTTAGTATGTGTATTTAAATTATTTAATTATTATAATAACTAAAGTAAATAGTTTTACATAAACAATTAAATTAAATTATTTAATGTTGTGTAATTATTATTACAGTTGTTGTGAATTTAAATTGCGAGGAAAATTGATAGAATAAGCGAAATAATTGATTTTTAAAATCAATCTTTTTTCTATTAAAGTTTAAGAATAGTCTCTATAATTTACAAAGCAATATTGCTAATTCAGAGTTTGTGGTTCAAAAAACGGAAATGTTGCGTTTTCAAATTAATCTTAAACTTTAGGAATGAATGCGAGAAATTATTTTTTAGCGGAAACAATGCAAAGGGCTTATTAATATATTAAGACGTGCAATTAGAACAATTGTGATAATAATTGTGATAAATGTTATAAATAATAATAATAGATATGATAGCAATACACATTCTCTTTAAGCTATTAAGGGCTATTAATAACAATAATAATACACTGCTGGTTATTAAAATTGCAACACTATATATTTACATTTATATGTATTGTGTTGCAATTTTAATGGCCAACAGTGTAATATAAATAATAAGGAAAATAATAAATATAATATAAATCATAGACAAATGTATAAATATAGAAATGTAGACACGTGTCAAATTTATGTAATTATAAAGTATTGCGAGTATTGTGATCAATAAATCATCAATACACATACTTATTAACTTTTTCTCCCTTAAAACACATATGCAAGAAGATAAAAATATTATATAAGTTGTAATATAGTTGCAAAAATATTTATTTATATATGTAACAAGTTTCTTTTTCAATGTACACTTTGCTCGAGCTTTTCTCTTTTTCAACTTCTATTTTATATATATTATTTAATACGCAAAAAATGACAAAATTGATAAAATTTGTCACACATATAGATACACATATACGTAGATGTATTGATATCTGTTTTATTTTTCTCAAAATTCTTACTAAACATCATATATTCCGTATAATATGCGCCCAATCTGAATATATATCTAAAATTAATATTCTATTATCTTATTTAAAAAGAGCAATTATTAAATTATTAATTTATTAAAACAAATATATATAATACAAAAAGAGTAAGAAAAATTAGATTTTCTTCTGAATACAATTAAGAGATAAATATATCTTTTAATTTCAATGTCAACAATTTATTATAAAATCTAGTTTTCCCTTTTTAACGATTACAAATATATATTTAATATATGAATATTTATTCTTTCTTTAATAAAATTAATAGTAATAAATAAAACAGTAATAAAATTATAATAAAAAAATCTGATAATGACTATGTCATATTATTTTAAGTGTGAAAATTAAATTCCTTGTATAGAAATAATTGTACATGATATTTATCAAGTATTGTATTAAGTATAATAAAAAATAAATTCTATTGTACATATATTTTATATGTAAAAAAGACTTGATGTACAATATTTGATAAAACTGTTTCTAACAAAAATTATACAAAAAATTAAAATATTATACTAAATAAGTTCTATTATTTTATCTAAAAGAAATGTTTTATTCTTTAAAATTATTTGACTAAGAAAAAAATGAGTTTATTAAAACCATTTTTTTGTCCTCCTTTTTTTTCTCTTTCTCTCTACTAAGAATATTATCTAAACACACACATATAAAAATATTTTGATAATAATATATCTGTATATGTTAAAAAAAGATTACGCGCAATTAATAAAATATATAATTAAATCCAGACACGGGACGTGTTATTTATTGATTTATAATTATAGATAAGACATACATCTCTCGAACGTGATTCTACCGGCAATATGTTAAAAAGTAATTGTATCCAAATAATTTCAACTCTAAATATATCTAATGGCGCTGCTATACAGAAAGGGGATTTTAATAGAGATCTCTTTAGTACAAATATGTATATCATGATATATGAATATCTAGATACGATATATACTAAAGTCAAAGATGCTCAAATCGAAAGTGGGGAAGCGTATTATAAAACCTAAAATATCAATACTAATTAATGTGAATTAATAATTTCATCATTAATATTGAAAAAATATATCTAATATCAACACGTTGATATTTTCCGATCATTCTCAAGTTCATCGATTTCGGGATATTCACGAATCTTTTAACCATGTATTTTAATGATAATAAAAAGATTTATCATTAGCGGATAAATAGATTTCCTGCAACAAGGAGTTGTATACACTTGTTCCAAGAATTTCAAACACCATGATTAGTTATCGATTGGTGATCAAAAGAGAAATTTGTAGTAAAGCTTCGTTACCACTTTTTAATTATAACGCCATTAAATAAAAACTTATATCAATTATTAACTGTAAGATTTAGCGCCTCTTGATTTTAAGAGATAGATTTTTCGAGAGAGGATTGAAGTAGAAGAAGATTTGTGTGAGTTATATTTGTTACACTATTATTACGTCCAACATTAAATATCTCGTTATATAATTTAAGAGAAGAAATAGTAAAGTTATTAAAGTAATAGTGTTTAACGATGGCTTCTTGTTACATTACCTCTTCTTCTTGATAAAAAGTGGATATATAAAAAGCTACTTTTGCAAAACTAATAAAAATAGATAATTTTTGATGAATTAATTAATCTCTGTTTTTATTCTTTTTTATAAATCATATTAATAAATGCATTAATGAAAATGAATTAATGTAAATAAAAGGTGGCATATTATTATTGGAATGCTTTTTTAATATAAATGTATATAAGCAATTAAAATTTTGAAAAATGTAATTCGGTTCGCGATTCGACTAATATAATTGATTGCGTTCAATATTGCTGGTATTCTAGATTGAATAATTTTTTAAAATATTTAAAGAAGACGAAATAAGAATGCTGAGCCATTAGAAGGAAAAACTATAAATATGGAGATGACATATCATGTATTTATATAAATACATATAGGGTGATCACATCACTAAAGATGTTGCAGACTAATATTTTTGAAACTGAACGAGATATGAAATCCTTATTTTCCAACGACTGTTTGGTATTAAAGCGGGCATTCGACGCAAAGATGGAACATCACTGCAGTTAACATGCGAAATTAATAAGAATTTTATATCTCGTTCAGTTTCAGAAATATTAGCCTGTAACACCTTTAGTGATTCACCATGTATATACATATATGTGTATATAAATCAAACTCGATATGCTTATCGTAAAAGTCATGCTAACCCGTACTTGCGATTATTGAGAGAAGCGTCATCACATGAGATAGTGCTTAATAGAATATTCGATCTATATGGCCTACGACAACTTACATAATTCACGTAGCAAGTGGAGCAGCAACGGAAATCGATACTGAACGGCCGCCATAACGGTCAAGGAGGGTCGGCAACCTTGTCAGGAAGTAGCAATCAATATTATCAGTTCGGTATCGATAATAAAGTAAACGAACGCGATGTAATATAGAATTGTAAAAGGTAATATTTCATGGTATCATTCTCTTGAAGGACATTTTCTATTCATAGATTCAAGTTAATATGAGCATATGTTTTTTTATATTTGCCAATTTTCACATTTTCTATATTCCGGATTGAAATAACAAGATTGTTAGATATTTGATTTAATTTAAATTCGTAATTTTCTTCAAACGTTCAAATTTTTTTCGGTTTCTAAAATGTTGAAATTTTTTGTAGAATTCTACACATTTATTTTAAATTTATAATTTCTCTTTTTTTTTTTCTCTCTCACTGTCTGTTTGGAACCTCGGTTATGCCAAGATCCTTCGAGTATTTCACATTTCGGTGCTTATTCGATGATGAGCCACATTAATCTTCACATATCATGCGAAACGTCCCACGCATGTTCGCGTGCGTTAAAATAACCATCAGCTTTAGTAGCGAGAGAGTGCGTTGACTGCCGCGGCACGAATCGCATTTGCATATTTAATTCGTCGTAAGAGGGAAATGGCACCGTCCTCGTTATCAGAAAGCGCGATGCACGATACGTTACATGCGGATCTTGATTTGAGGCTTGCTTTGTTATGTCTTACCGTTATAGCGCGTATATCCGCATAAAATCGTTACTTATCCTCACTCGCAACAAAGACAATTCATCGAACGAGAATTTCGCGCGGATGCGAATAAATTCGCAACGGCGAATTGAATATACGCTCGCATTGAATATTATCTCGTGGTTCTCGTAGCCGGCTGTTTAATATCCGTGGCGGAAACTTTGCGAGTCATACCAATTAACTGATAATGTTAGTGGCGACTGCTCTCTCTATATTATTGTCCGCCCTCTCGAGGAAAATTCGGAGCTCGTAAACTACCTAGCCACCGTTCCAGATGCTTGCTTTCTTTGCGGATTCGAGCGGCCAATTATATGCGTAATGGCCTTTCGCGGTTAAGCTTAATTGAAAGCGACGCCATCATATAATTCTCGTACAATATCTCGCGCTCCTTTCGTCTATTAACATTTAAATCCGAACTTGTTTCAGAAATATTAGCCTGTAACACCTTTAGTGATTCACTCTGAATATGTATATGTAATATTTCTGAAACTGAACGAGATATAAAATCCTTATTTTTCAGCGATTGTTTTGTATCGAAGCAGGCATTTGACGCAAAAATGAAATTCCGCACTGTTAACATGCGAAATTAATAAGGATTTCATATCTCGTTCAGTTTCAGAAATATTACATATACATATACAGAGTGAATCACTAAAGGTGTTACAGGCCATATGAAGGAATGTTATATTGAAGGAAAATAGAAGAAAAATAATATAACATATATAAAACATATATAAAACATATAACATATATAAAATGTAAATAAGATATATTTATGTGTATTATATAAAGGATTCACTAATACCTAATAACTTTATCCTTAAAAACTAATTAGCATACATAGGCAAATTAGCATATATAGTCAGTTTTTACACTCATAAAAATATTTAAAAATAATTAAAAGTAATTATATTTAATATATTTGTTATGCGCTCTAGGAAATCAAAAACTTAATGCAACATTAAATATAATTACATTTTTTTAATAATTGCATACTTTAGCTAATTTTACTTTTTCTTATTTGATTATAGGAGTTTTTTAAACATTTAATTTCTGATATTATATCTCGCTCAACTCAATCAGTGAATTACAATTTTTGAGATACCGGGTTAATTTTTTTTTACATGGATAGAGTATCATTCAAAGATGGTTGGTATTGAATTTGGTGAGAATCGATGAAAAGGTTCATTTTTTATAAATAATTTTATTCTATTTCTTTACTCCGCTCGTTTGGCGTTGAATGTGACACGTATAATTCTCAATCTGTAACGTAACATTTAATGTGATTACAAGAATCCGATGTTTCTTGAACGACTTGCCTATTTTCAGTCCGCATTCTTGCGGTTTCCGCTCGGCGGTCTTTAATTCTAGGGGATCGGACGAGTCCTAGGACCCCTAGTAAAGAAACGCGCGGCGGTAATATTCGTTTTAGTCCTTTTCTAAAAACCATAATAATGGTACTTCTCCGAGGTTCGTAGTATACGATGGTTTCACTTCCGCTTTTTTGTACACTTGCAACTGGTGGCGGTTATCATTCCATAGGAATCGCTAACCGTGTTGGAGAAACTTGTTTGATTTCATTATACGTGGATATATAGTGTAGCGAAAGGAAAAGTTAAAATTATTACTACTGTGATTCGTTTACTTTGTATCGCATGCATCAAAGTACTCACGCACGTATAGCAAACAGCGTCGGATCCATCACTGAAGACGAAACAACAAAAATAGCAACTGCGACGACCAATGAAGCATGCATAGTAACACGCACGACAGTCTGCAAAAAAAAACCGGAAATAAATGTCTGTTCTATGTAACATAAGTTAACTTTACGTCACGCATAGTAGTTAGAATTCTTCATTTTGGCATGCAATATATACAATATATATACATATATTGTATATATACATATATTGTATATTACCGTCCCGTTTTAATAATTAAAGTATCTTTTTTATTCATAATTTTTTTTCTCCATTGAGAGTTAGATTAATGTACGTTCTTTTACGAGGATTTATTTGTACATCTATATTATAGTTATATCTATACTATAGTATATTATATTTATTGTATTATTATACGTTAATTTAAATTATCATGTTAACAATTTGATTAAATCCAATCTTTTTTTAAAACAAACTATTATACCTTAATAAAGACATATTATAAATCGAAATAATTGGAATTATTAAAACGGAATGATTATCCTCTAGTCTACACTAATTTTGATCAATTCGCAAATTAATGAGCGAACGACATGGTAGATAATTTTAGAAATTCGACGTTCACTTTAATGTGCAATAAAGATGTTGAAAAATTCCTTGCGCAGAGTTGCCATAAAAATTGCATCGAGTCATCTCACAAACTCTTTTGCAAAGTGTTAAATGCATCGTCGTTCAGTCGACGAAGCCGTGTTTTCGTGAAATCGACGAAGCTAATATCGACAATTCGCACGCGCTCACTTGTCCGAGCTTACGCTCCGCTCGGCGCTCT